ACAACCAGGTATAGTAATATAGTGTTTTATTACAACCAGGTATAGTAATATAGTGTTTTATTACAACCAGGTATAGTCATATAGTGTTTTATTACAACAAGGTATAGTAATATAGTGTTTTATTACAACCAGGTATAGTAATATAGTGTTTTATTACAACCAGGTATAGTAAGATAGTGTTTTATTAAAACCAGGTATAGTCATATAGAGTTTTATTACAACCAGGTATAGTCATATACAACCAGGTATATTAATATAGTGTTTTATTACAACCAGGTATAGTGATATAGTGTTTTATTACAACCAGGTATAGTAATATAGTGTTTTATTACAACCAGGTATAGTAATATAGTGTTTTATTACAACCAGGTATAGTAATATAGTGTTTTAATACAACCAGGTATAGTAATATAGTGTTTTATTACAACCAGGTATAGTCATATAGTGTTTTATTACAACCAGGTGTAGTCATATAGTGTTTTATTACAACCAGGTATAGTAAGATAGTGTTTTATTAAAACCAGGTATAGTCATATAGAGTTTTATTACAACCAGGTATAGTCATATACAACCAGGTATATTAATATAGTGTTTTATTACAACCAGGTATAGTGATATAGTGTTTTATTACAACCAGGTATAGTAATATAGTGTTTTATTACAACCAGGTATAGTAATATAGTGTTTTATTACAACCAGGTATAGTAATATAGTGTTTTAATACAACCAGGTATAGTAATATAGTGTTTTATTACAACCAGGTATAGTCATATAGTGTTTTATTACAACCAGGTGTAGTCATATAGTGTTTTATTACAACCAGGTATAGTAATATAGTGTTTTATTACAACCAGGTATAGTAATATAGTGTTTTATTGCAACCAGGTATAGTAATATAGTGTTTTATTGCAACCAGGTATAGTGATATAGTGTTAAAGCATACATTGCGATTAGTGATGTCATCAAACACTTACTTTTTGTGGAATTGCTGAAACCACAGACATCTGATTGATGCAAATTGATGCTATTATTGTCTGCGATTTTTAAAAAACCTCTTTAGAATCCTTTTAATATGATGAACATCCAATCTTACCCTCAAGTATATTCCTGAAGTATATTGTTACTTGTAATCTTTCTTCATGTCTCCCCTTAAATGATTAATATTAATATTATGTTTGTTATTTTAGGTGTTATAGTAGATTTAAAACAGTTTATTACCTCCAACTGTCTGGGGTTTGTATTGGCTGGATTGAGTAGTCATGTGACCAGTGTACGTCAAGCCTGTTATCTTATATTAAAACAATATTATGACCGACTGTCTACAGCTACATTCCCCGAGGTTGAAGAAATAAAGTATCTGTTAGAGTTATTACGAGGAAGTATTGAAACTCCCAGTATGAAACTCTGTACTGTTATTACTGTGTTTTTATCCAAGATGGCCAAACTTCTTCTTAGTCCTGGTAAGATTTCAGATTTATTTATACTTACCGGTAGTATCTTTTATTTTAAGAGATTGTAAAGAGTTTCTCTAAAAAAAATTTTATGTGTATCAGAAACACTGATAGCATCAATTTACAATTTTCAATCAGACGTCTGTGGTTCTTGTTAAAGAGATTGTAAAGAGGATTTCTAAATTTTGTATGTGTATCAGAGACACTGATAGCATCAATTTACATCATTCCAATCAGACGTCTGAGGTTTCATCAACCACTTTGCTTTGGTGGACTTGTTAGAAACACGGACGTCTATTTGAAAATTAGTATCATCGTCCCTGATACACATAAAAAGTTTAGAAAATCTCTTAACTATCTCTTTAGGTCAAAGGTACACAAATGTATTTTTTTTTCCACAATGGCAGGAAATTTGCAGGTGTGCCCATTCCTGATGATGAGGATTTCATACATCTGCATCAAATAATTAGGTTAGATATTTTCAGCCTATTATTGGTAGATCTATTCGCTTGTCTGCCGATGTCTGGCGTATTTGGTCAATTGAAATTTTTAAACCAATTGGATGTGATGTTCAAAATGGCTGGTCAGTTAAACAAAATGTCTGTTTTTTTAACTACTATAGCAACTTTATTTGTTTCAGAAAATCACATGTATAAAAGTTTAACGACATTTTTAATGTCAAAACCAACATTAGAGTTTGACAGAATTCCTGGTTTTTACAGATTCTTTAATAGTTCTGAATTAGACGTAAGTTTCAACTTTGATTTAGTCTAGAGACTTGTATCTTAACGAGCTTTGTCTTACTCTGCACCGTTAGTCGTGTTTGTTATGTTGAGCAGCTATGAAGGGTTTTCTTACTCTTCTAGACTCCTGATACCACTTTTCATGATGAAATACTTACTTACTCATGATTGATACAGTATTGAAAGGCCAGGCAGGGTATTCTTACTCTTCTAAACACCTGATATCACTTTTTACTATGAAATACTCACTCATGATTCATGTACTTCCTCATGTGAAAAATCCATTAGCAGTTAACTATTTATTCTATTTCGTGATTTTCTCTTAGGTTTTCCTGTAATGTTTTCCCTGCTAGAAACTATAGCCTGACTGAATAGAACGACTTTCATTATGATGGTCTACATTTTTATACAAGACTAAAAATACCCTCCAAATATTTCACAATTACCTCCGTGCTTTAATTAATGTTGCTATGTATTACTATATAATATATTATATTATATTACAGCATCATCAAGAACGTCAGTGGATGTTAAATATGATATTAGACGGGTTACGAACCTATGATGATTTTAGAATCTATGAAACATTATACAGTTTTAAATTATTACAATCTTATTACCAGAGTTTACTCAGTGATCTTCATAGTCAGGTTTTTATATTTTCATTCTTTTAACTTTTACTTCAAAAACTTTACTTTAATGTTCCAGTCATCTGATTGGTCTATACGCCTACCTTAAACATTGATTTTAGGTTTATCATCCAATCAAATCACTGTATTTCTTTAACCTAAGTTATTCTAGTGTAGCTGTATTGGGTCATCTGTCAACCAATCAAGCTATTGTTTTCCTATACCGTCCGTCCGTCCACATTTCTTGTATGCACGATAGAGGCTACAGCTTTTATCTGATCTTGATGAAACTTTGTATGCATGTATGTATTAATGAGATCTCGGTCAAGCTCGAAATTGGTAATAATCGGATGAAGCGTTTAAGAGTTATTGCCCTTGACTTAGTATAAATGTGTTAAATTTGCCTTGTATGCCCGATGACGGCTACAAATTTGATCCCATCTTGATGAAACTTAGTATGCATGTCTATATTGATGAGATCTCGGTCAGGTTTGAAATTGTAATTATTGGATCATCTATTTCAGGGTTGTTGCCCTTGACTTAGTAAAAAAACACTTCAAATTTGGCTTGTAGGCTTTCTATAGACTACAGTTTTTATCAGATCTTGATGAAACTTGAAAATATATTGATGAGATCTCGGTCAAGTTTGAATTTGGTCTTAATTGGATGGAATTTTTTAGAGTTATTGCCCTTGAATTAATTCAGTGCATCTAATTTGGCTTGTAGTCTTTTAGAGACTATATTTTTTATACGATCTTGATGAAACTTGGTATGAGGTCTCAGTAAATCTTGAAATTATTAACAATCGGTTGATTGGTTTCACATTAAACCACTACAGATTTTGTTATCATTTCTGACAACTGGTAATGGGCGTATGTTACCTTGCCTTGCAAGCTATCTTTAATATATTTCAGACTATAATATTAAAGATTATTAACTCGGTGTGTATAGATATAGAAACTATCACTGTATTATATGAGAAACATGGTATATTAACCTGGTTTCTAGGTGTTATTCTACAACTGTAAGTAATATTAAATCATTAAAGATTGGTTCCCATATTTTCATATGG